AAAGTAATGCATACATTTCAAAACATAAAATTAAAAGGCAAATTAGAGAAAATATTTCTAATATTGAGATACATTATGATAAGATAAATGCATATTTTTAAAAAACACAAAGAGAACAGACAGATGAGCAGAGGACATAAATGAAGAATTTCCAAAAGAGAAATGAACAATGGTGTGGCCTTATTTTAAATGTACCACAGAGACACCCTTCCCCAAACCTCCACATCCCTTTTTCTACCTTCTGGCTGCTAAACTCAGAATAAAAACAGCTTACTGATCCTTTGGGGGTAGCCGAGGCACAGGCCCACCCAGAGGATGTGTGGACATTAAATCAGCCCCTCAGAGGCCCCACATCTGGCAGCATCTTTCTCTAAAGCAAACACCTTTGCTAACTGAACAGCAAAGGTGTTTGCTTTAGACAAAGATGCTGCCAGATGTGGGGCCTCTGAGGGGCTGATTTATCTGGTAGGATAAGGTGGGAGAGGCCTCCATTCAGGTGTACCCAAGACGGAGCAGCCTCTCAGTGGTCCACAGGAGAGCAGAAGCAGCTTCCTTCCGGACCAGATGCCACCTCACACCACACTGGGTGGGTCCAATGTGCTCACAGGCCAGGTATGGACACAAAGGGTCTGGGCAGGAACATTAGCAAGTTGTCACAAACCAAGAGGCCAGTGGGGCCTGCCCACTACTCTCCTAAGTGGCTGACATTGCCAGTTGTCAGCTGGCAGCCTTGGATCCACTGGTAATTATCACAGATTATATAACTGTCCTTATTAAGGAGTGCTGTGCGGGGGCAGGGCAGTGCTGGACTCAGACAGGTGGGCGAGAATTCTGGCTCTGAAATTCGCTAGCCTGTGCCTCACCTCTCTGAGCTTCGATTTCCTTGTATATATGAGGAGGAATGATAAGGCCTTACCTGTAGACCTGGTGCTCCACCTGAATAAGGGAAGGAAAGGATCCAGCAGAGAGGAGACAGTCCCCAGTACATGCTAGCTCAGATAAATCACCTCAAAGTCCACAAAAATTCCACAGTGGAAATGGGTGCATGAATGATTCTTGACCAGGACAAATGAGTACCAACAAAAGCTTCACATGCCCTCAAATCTCTATTAGTCACAAGAACACCTGAACATCAAGTGGAACCCTCCTCGTCACCACTGGCAGCAAGGACACCCACATAGGTGCTGGCAGTGTGGCCACAGCCTCTGACTCACTCACCACTTAACAGAGCCTTCTCAAGTCCCCACCTCCACCCCACTACCCAGAATCCCTGAGACAGCCCTCCGCAATCTTTCATCTTTGCCCCACCTACCCAAATGTACTGTGGACATTTGGGAATAGGAAGGGCTAACAGAGTCCATGATGTGACAGTAGAGAGGGGACTCCGGGGTGGGGAGGACCCCAGCGAGTCAGTATTCTGAGACTTAAGAGAAGTAGGAGTTGTCAGGGTAGAAGGGCCCTTGAAAGACATCCGGTCAATCCCTCATCTGCATCATGAACACAGCGTGGTGCATATACCTGACACTGCTCTGCCACGAATCACCGCCTTCCCTTGCCTGGATTATTGTGCCAGCCTCTTTACTAGTCTCCCTGTTTCCACCCATCACCTTGCAGCCTATGATCCTGTTAAAACAAAGGTCAGATCACGTTAACTCTTCTGCTTAAAACCCTCTAATGGGTCCCCATTTCGCTGAGTAAAAAGCAACATTTTTACAATAGCCCCTAAGCCCTGGACAATCTGATCCCTCTGTAACCTCCCAGATTTCCTCTCCTGCCATTTTCCCCTTTAGTCACTCTAAACTCTCGGCACGCTGACCACTGGTGTTCCTCCGACACACCCGACACCATGTCCCAGGGCCTTTGCACCCACTGTTCATTCTGCCTGGAACATTAAGACACATACATGGCTCACTTGCTTACCTCCTTCAAATCTTTGCTCAAATGTCACTCCATTTTTAAATTGCAACATCTCCCCTCACCCGGCCAGGACTCTTGATTTCCCTTAACCTGCTCTATTTTTACCCCCAGAACATTTCTGATAACTAACACACTCTATAATCTACTTATTATGCTCATTGTCTACTCCCCATCCCCTCACCTAGAATGTAAGCTCACAGGGGCCGGTACTCAGTAAGTACTGGTTGGATAAAGGAACAGACCTACCTCTGCCTCCCTGTAACTCACCGCATGAGGCCTTACTCTGCACGGAAGGATGTAGACACCTCCTCCTGCTTCTCCAGCTCTCTCAGCCTCTCTGCTCTTTGGTGAAGGCCCTACAGTTTTCTCCAACTGCTTCTCACGTGATAGCTCCCTCTCCTCTAGATGTAACTCCATCCGTCAGCATTTCCCCAGAAGTGTAGAATCCAAACTAGAGGCAGGTACAAATGTTTGGAGAGCGACAGAGGGAAAATGGAGTAATCTGGGGAGGGAAGAAGCAAGACAAGATCCAGGGAGGAGAGACCTGCGAAGTTACTTTCGTACAGGCCGTCTGACTTTGGACCACTCCAATGAGGAGCCCCTACCTCTCCTACCTTCCTCCCACCAAGCATTTTAACTGACAGCCTGACAACCTTCAGCATCCCTCTTTTCCAGAGAAATCTAGTGAGTCTACCTAGGTGAGCACCAGATCCAGGACACAGGATAGGTCTGGTGGGTGTGGGAGGGGCCAGACACTCCTCCACTCTCCGCAGGGAATGGCTGACAGGATTTCCCCCTCTCAACCCACCATTTCAGGAGGGATGCCAGTCCATAGCAGGAGCCCAGGGGAGACAGAGCTCTTAGATACTCTGGACATAGAAGGGTCTAGAAGGATTTTAACAAAAACAAAGCATGCTTGGGCCAGATGTGGTGAACCCTGAGGTGAAGAAGTACTGTGGTCAGCAGGGGACTAAAGACAAGAGGATCTGCAGAATCACTGGGCCATACTACCCCCAGGATTAGCAGGCGGCTCAGGTGAGCTTCCCTGCTCTGCTCTACTTTAAATCTGGCAGATGCGATTCAGTGATGGCCTTGCTGATGACATACGCTCTGCTTTTCCAGCCCCCCATCTCAGCAGGGACAGCATCTCCATCAAGCCAAAGTCTGATTAGTTGGAGAGACCAACATGTCACAGCACTCTGGGAATATTAAATAATATTTACAAGGGAATGACGTTGGGAAAATAATTACTGGTGGTAAGAGGCAATCAGCGGCGGGGAACTTCTCCACTGCTCGAGTGGTGAGAAATTAGACAGAATGGGGCTCAGAGCAGTGGAGGGTTTGTCACGGGGACATTGGAAGGGGTTAGGAAGTCACTACCTCTGCTGATACTGTTAATAGGATAAAGCAGTCTTGCAAATAAGAGCCAGACCCCAGGAGGCCTGCATTTGAGGGGATTTAAAAATCAGGCCAGATCCTGCCAATAGCTTCACTTTAGGTGTTAGAACTGGAAGGGGGCTGAGAGATCGGCAACACCACTGGTTCCCAGTTTGAAAGATTTCTGCCTCCTAAAAATACTGCAAGTATTAAGTAATAATTAATTTGTTTTCATATTTTTTATTCATCAAAGACACATAGAGGACTGCCAGCTGAGACAAGCAGGAATAGACACAGGAGTGATGTCACTCCAGCCCCAATCAAGAGACCTATTGTTTTTTTGACAGCTCAGCTATATTATCCCATATATATGTTCTCTTTTGAAAACATTTAAAATAACACAAGGGCCCACTTTGAAATACCTGAGGGAGCCTGGAGAATCTACACCAGAAACCCCAAATCCAGGCGAACTCTTTTACACAGAAGCAGACTGAGGCCCAGAGAACCTAAATGGCTTGCTCCAGGCTACATAGCTGGCTGTCAACAGGGCCAAGTCTAGACTCAGGGATTGGGGAAGAGACTGCAAGGGCAGGGAAGGAGTAAGTCATAGCAGCACATGTAGAGGCTGAGTGTGCGCTATGGACACAGGCTTGGGCTTAACTCTTGTCTTCAATTCTTACCAGTTGTGGGACCCCGGCAAATGTCTGAAGCACAGAGCCCATTTTTGTATCAGTAGAATGAAGATTAAGTAACAGAACGAGCACTTAGTAATCAGCTTTTCCTTAACTCCAGTTTGTGTGTATGGTGCTGGTGGCGAGTGGTCTGTGTAGACCTCAGATCAACAAGCTTGGAGAACAAGGTCACATGACCCAACTTCCAGGTGTTGCCCTGACAATGCCAGTGGGAAACAAATTTTGTTTCAATGGAGCTCTGGTTACTAAATTGCAATGCTGTCACTTCTAGGTAGTTACTCAAAACTGAGGGTACCTCAAAACTCAAGACCGTATCCAGATTCACTGTCTCTCAATTCCTGCAGGGTGGGACCTGGGAATCTGCACTTTAAAATTTATTATTGAGATATAACTTACATACCATAAAATTTACCATTTTAAAGTGTACACTTTCAGTGGTTTTTAGTCTATCCATAAGGCTGTGCAACCATGGCCACTAATTCCAGACCCTTTCATCACCCCAAAAAGAAACCCCGTACCCATTAGCAGTCACTCTCCATTCCCCACTCTCCCATTCCCTGCCAACTACTAACCTGTCTCCGATTTGCCTGTTCTGGGCAATTTATATGAATGGAAGCGGATAACAAGTATCTTGCTTCTTTCACTCAGCACAATGTTTTCAAGGTCCATCTATGGTGCAGCATGGATCAAGACTTCATTCTTTCGGAATCTACACTTATAATGAGCTCCCCTGGTAGTTCTGATGAGTGGACTTTTGGGAGGAAAAGAATGGCAAATTCACACAAAGTGTGAATTTGGTTATTATACAGATACAGGGCCTCAATCCTCCTGTCAGGTGTGTCTGTCTTGGAAGCCCCACTGGTAACAGGAGGCAATGCTGGCTCTTGCTTCCTCCAGAGACTGAAGAGGTTGGGCAGGGTCTCCTAGTGCTTCGTAGGGAGATATGTCTGTGGACAGTGGCCTGGCTGCTCTGGGAACTGGGCAGATTAACTGTGAGAGATTCACACAAGGGGATTTAGTCTCAACTCAAAGACTTTAATGTACATTATGCTCTTGAAAAAACATCTCCAAGGAAACAAGTGGAACCAAAAGTCTTAACCAGCAAGAATTCTCATTCAGAAACCTGGCGTGAGCTGCAGCCTTGGAAAAGAACACAGGGACTCTGATCATAGTACGACGGCTTGAAGTCAGGGTGGCAGGGCCTGTGTGCAGGATGGGCCTGTGTGCAGGATGGGCCTGTGTGCAGGATGGGCCTGTGTGCAGGATGGGCCTGTGTGCAGGATGGGCATGCCCTCAGGACTCCCAGGAGACTGAAGAATCACTCCTCTTGTGGTTGATAGCTCCACAGAAGGGCTGGAAAGACCTAGGCTTACTGGTTATCCTTAGAACTCTGAATAAAGGCCCAGGATTCCAACAGGGCCAATGAAGCCTGTCTAAACCAACAACTGTTCTTTGTTTTTTGTATCTCCAGGTCATCAAAAACAGACATGGTGGCTCTGGTGAGGAATGGGGACATACGGAAGTACTGCCAAGTCCCACTTCTGGGTCTGAGGCTTCAGAATGAAATAGATGGGAGAGGCATGGCACCAGCAAGGCCCTGGGGTCAGGGGACACAACCACCTTGGAAGATTACTCACTGGGACCTCTGGATAGAAGAAAGGGACTTAGCTGGAGTAAGCAAGAGCTGATGACTTGTCAGACTGAACTCAACTGTCTTCTGTGTTACACCCTTCCCAACCTGGGGCTCCTGAGCTGTCACATGCCCATGTTTTCTGTGATGTATCCTCATTCAACAAGGAGCAGGCAGAAATTCTGCCTCATTTCTCTACTACATTGTTTAACTTTTAAAAAGTCACCTGACACTCAGGCCCCTCAGCAGTCCAGGGTTTGTTTTCTAACCATCCTGTGGAATAAGCCATCAGTTCTCTTGGGCTTTTGGCTCAATTTCTTCTCATTCAGAAGGAAATAGGTTGCTGTTGAGGCTGGTCTCTCCCAAGACCTCTATAAGAACCCATGTGGAATTCAGTCTGGTTTAGCACCAAGGCCAGGCTGATGGGGAACCTACGAATGTACCTTCAAGATACTACAGTCTCTTTGGCACTGAAGGAACTTATTTATTGGTGAAGGAGAGAATTCTGGCTCCATCTTTGCAGAACCTGGTGGGGCCGCTGCGCTGGCAGGTCCCAGTAGGAGGGGGCAGAATGGGAAGGCCAGGACTGCAGCTGTGTAGGAAGGGATCGTCCCTGGCTGACAGCATTCCCGGTTAGCCAGTCTCCACACCCTCAGGGAGCTCCACCACCACCGGGGCGCAGTCCTCCGGCTCCGCCTCGAAGTCCCACCGAAACTTCTTGGTCAAGTGAGCTTGGAACTTTTCAGCTTTCTGCCTCAGGGTGGCATTAACGGCAACGCTGCGGGCGGAGGAAAAGAAAACCTACAGAGAACAGAAGATAAGTCACTCCTGAGAACATAGAAGGAGCTGAGAAAGCTGTGGAAATTTACTCACGGTGCTCAGTTCTCTGGGGCAGATAGATCAGCTGCTGGTGGCACAGGCCCAGGACACCTGCTGTGCTCTCCCCAAACCAAGAAAGAAGGTCCAAACCCAGCCGAGAAGCTGAGGCAGGACTAGAAGGGAAAATTTCTATCTTGGGCAGAGGTGCCCCACTGAGTAAGGCCAGTGGCCATCACTCCGGCCCTGCCTTCTGAAGAGATCTACTTGGCACCGTAACTCAGAGTAAGAAGTAGTAGCTACACCAGCTAGTACTAAAAAAGCTTGGGGGACTTGGAAGCCCCTGGATTCCATAAAGTCTCAGGCTCTAAGCCAATGAGGCTGAACTGCTGCTCTAAACTAAATGGCCCACAGGCTGCCAATGTGAAGTTTCTATTCCCCCTAAAAACTATCTTTGATGTTCTTTTTTAAAAATTGTGGTAACATATACATAACACAAAATCTATCATTTTAATCAATTTTTTACATTATCATTTAAAACACTGTTAAATATACATAACACAATATTTACAATTTTTTTTTTTAACGCCTACAGCACCTGGCGGGGGGAGGTGGATAATAGCTATCCTAATGGGTATGAAGTGGTATCTCACTGTGGTTTTGATTTGCATTTCCCTAATGATTACTGATGTTGAACATCTTTTCACGTATTTGGTTGGCCATTTGTATATCTTCTTTGGAGAACTGTCTATTCAAGCCTTTTGCCCAATTTTTATCAGGTTTTCTTTTTTGTTGTTGTTCAGTTACCGGAATTCTTTATATATCCTGGATATTAATATCCTGTTTTGATGTTCTTTTTACTTCAGTTTCATCTAATATAAACATGGGCAGGGGAAAGAACAGTAATTTTTTCTACATCTGAAACTCCATCTGGATTGTTCAATCTGGATTGTTCTAGATCCTAACCCTTTCTAAAAATAACAGCAAACCCATTACTCCTTCTCACACTATTTTACTGTTTTCATAGAAGTTTCACAGAGTATCTCAATGGATCCTCAAAATGCCCTGGGAAGACATACCAGAATGCCCACTTTTTAGAAACAGAGCCTGAGAGAAATTAAATGACAGGACCGAAGCTATCCAGAAAGGAAGTAGTTTTTCCTAGACTACCCATCGGCTCCCAGCAGGACCACTGGACAGACACAGGAGCATGGGGGTGGAAAAAGCTCTTTGATCCACCTTCATGCCATAGCTGGCCCACAGACCACCATGGAAAGAAACTGCATTCCAGGGACCTTGACCTAACAAAGATAACGACAGGTGTGTACTCTGCGGCTGATTCTTTGGACAACACCCCTCCCACCTGTTTCTCCATTGTCTTTCTGTGAGCAGGAGAACCAAGGCTCATTTTCAGTGGTCTGTGGAGCCATTTTGTTGTAGTGGTAGGAGGGATGGAAGTGATGGGGTTAAGGGGGGTGGAAGCAGAAAGGGAGTTACAGAATTTGGTTTCATTAACTTGAGAACTGACTAAATACAGGAGTGGGAAGCATAGCCATAACGAAGTATCAGATCAATAACTAATTAGAGGGGCTGTGTGAGCTTGGTGGCGAGAGCAGCGGGGAAGCTGGCGGCTGTCTAATGGAGCTCACCCTGGATAATAAAGCCCAGCTGAACTCTGGCGAGGGAAGCAGAGAAGCCTTATTTCAAACAGCATTAGTTCTGGAGGCCCTGCACACCCACAAGTCTGTCCCCAGAGGTCTTGGGGAACCCGGTAGCTGAATTAGCAAGACTCTTCCTGTTCTCCTTCTTCAGCTGGTAAATTGTACTACTCTCTACACAGCCCCTCCTCTACAGCCATGTTGAACAGCTGCCCAATGCGCTACTGCCTCTTCTGTGCCTGTACACACATATGCTTTTCCCTGTTTATAATACCCTTCCACCCATTTTACCTCCTTCGCCTAGCTAATTTCTGCTAGTAGCTCAGGCTCAGCTCAGACATCACTTCCTTTAGGATGTCTTCCCAGACCAAGTGCCCAGGGTTACCTTGATCACAGCCTCAATCTCAATTAAGTAACAGTCCATTTACAGTTGAGCTCTCCCAAGAGATGAGGAGCAACTCCAAAGCATAAGTCTTTTTCACACCTGCATCCCACATTCCTGGCATAGAGTCTGACATATAAAAAAGGACCCATTAGATGTTTAATTATCAAAAGAATAAAGAAGACCACAGGTTCTAGGAGAATCCATTTTGGTTCACTTTTCTACAGTGCCTAGTACCAAATGGCTCAGTAATTATGTGATGATGCTGGACAGAATAAGGAGTTCATCTTGGGGAGAGGTGGCTTATTTACCAGGCCCCTGCATACCATCAGTTCACAAGCCACCTCCTCGTGACATGCCTCTTATAAAAGCCCAAGCTGAAATGAACTGCTCTAACCTCTGTACCCCTAGCATTGTGCCTGAAATGCCTTCCCTTATGGCATTTCTCACTCACACTGTGCTTGCATGACAGTGACCTGCGCTCCTTAAAAGTAGGGAATGAATCCGAATTATCAATGTGTCCCACACAGTATATCATCCAGGGCCTTGCAGAGAGTTAGGGCCCATAGAATATTCACTGAAAGGATAAGAATGAGATGTAGGGATTGCCCTGCATTTGGCAATGGCCAGCAGTGAGAGGCTGGAACAGGCTGGACTCATAATCATCACTCATCCTCCCCATCAATCTCTCAAACAGTACCTGGTAGTAAACTCAATCAGAAGCAAGTATAATAGAAGCCTTCAGTCTAAAAAATAAGGCTTCTAATTTGAAAAGTGCTTTGTCCTTTTTAAATAATTTGTCACTCTAACCTTTACTACAAACATGGGATGTAGGAGGACAGGAAATTACTATTCCCATTGTATAGATGAGAACAGTGACAAATGCTGAGCAAGTGATAAATGTTGAGCAGGATCCAGTCCAAGAAGAGAAATCTCAATCCTTTTCTCCTACTAAGACCTTCTAGTGTTGACAAAGATTTAATGCATCCTTCATATTTTCAGCATTGCCCTGTGGGGACCCAAGGGGCTTGGAGACCAGGTACTTCTGGAAATGTCCTCTCCATAGGCCTCCAGGTTTGAGGACACAGCCCAGTTTAACTTTTTTTTTAAACAACTTTATTGAGATATAATTTACATACAATTAAATTCACCCATTTAAGTGTTCGATTCATTTTAACAAATGTATACACCCATGCAACCACTATGATATAATCAAAATAGATATCCTTGTAGTTTTTTCTTTTGGTATCCAGTTTTATGAGTTTGAAGGACCGTATACTATAAAAATCATGATACTGAACAGTTCCATCACTCTAAAAAACGCCCTAGTGCTGCCCCTTAGTGGTCAAACTCTCCCCTTATCCCTGGCCCCTGACAGTCACTGATCTATTCTTCTTTTTGTCCCTATAGCTTATAAACTTGATATTTTAAAAACTCACAATTCAGAAAACGAGATGTTTAGACAATACCTAGTTTTCAAGCAATAATTTACTAAAAGCATACTAATTGGGTATTTTTTTTTAAATATAAAAAAAGGTATTACTACTTTTATCATTAAGTCTGTGTATTCTTAAATTGTAAATTACTTTAGTCAGAAACGTAAAAGCTTTCTTTTAAACCCAAGTTAAAAAGAGTTCAGTCAAGTCACCTTGAGAAATTTAAAGCATCAAGGTAGGTAGCTGAGTCACCATCTTATCCTACTTTTTGGCTAGACAAAAAAGATGTAATTTCCTAATTTTTTCAATTCCCAAATGATTATTCAACTTAGAATGAAACTAGCCAGAGGTAGAACATTTTATTTTAGCTTGCAGAAGAAAAGTGTTAAAAGCAAGACTATCACTTCATAATGATTACCAGGAAAGTGAAAAGCAGTAGGAATCTTATCTTCTGAGGTCAGTTTAAAGAATTTGGGATGTTCATCTGGAGTTCTAATATATGAGAGCCCACCACAAGCTTTAGAATCGAAGCTCAGCCTTGCCATCCACTAGCTCTGGTGATCTTGGGCAAAATTGCGTGATCTCTCTGATCCTGTTTCCTCATCTATAAACTGCACAGTAAGTGTGCAAAAGTGTTAGACTCCTGATGGCAGGAGGTACAGGTAGATGAAACTGATCCTAGCTAGTATTATGACAAAAATACATAAAAATACTATTATGACAAAAACATATCAGAGCCAATGTTTTCTCTCAAGAGTTAAATATGGACACTGGCATTTAGAATACTAGCAAGAAAAAAAGCTGGAAGGCATACATGGCCTATTGTAACTAAAAGTATTTTAAAAAGCAGGTTACGTGACTGTATGCCTAAATGCTATACAATCAGCAATAAGAATCTTTATTTTGAACATAACTTACTAACACACTATTAAATTCAGATTATTCTTTCAATGGTTTTAAACAAATTGTGGTGACTCAAGTTGTTTTAAATAAAAGAAAAAACTGTATCTATTTTTGTAAAACAAATAATTTTTATTCAAGCTAAATCCATGGGATTTGTAAAAACCAGTGGCATCTATTCAAAAGGGCCTTTAATGGCAGAGGCCATTACATGGCTGATTTTATACAAGCTAATGTGGCTGCCTTTAAGTGCTTACACATACAAACACCAGTCTCTCTCCATGGGTAGTAGCCATTTAAGCTCCTAAGTAAGAAAGCTAGTTCTACTTACTTGACTACCTGGGGGGAGAGCAGGCGGCTGGCTGAGGAAGGCTTTTATGGGCTGATTCATTCACTCATAAACACCCTGAGTGAGTGCATCCATATGGGGGGACTGGATTCTCACTGCCAAGATGGCATCAATGTAATTCTCCATTAAGAAGAAAAAAAAAAGCTTTGTAATATCCTTTCTTACATTGTGTCATTGAAATCTCAATCATCCTTCAAGCTCTTGGTCAAATGCCCCTCTTTGCAAAAAGCTGTTCCTGATCCTCAGTCCCCTCATATCTCAACTCCAGTCTGAATTAACCAATCCCTCTTTGGTGTTCCCAATGTCCTTTGATCAGACTTTACTGTTTATACCAATCATATTAGGGTCATCTATTAATATTGCCACAGGGATCATGCACTCTATTCATCTAGAAACATCCAACAACATAAAGTGCGATAAGTGCTAGGCTTCAACTCGGTGTTGAAAATAACCAGATGAACAAAAAAAAACTTTAGGTAAAAGCTCATGGCTCAGTGGGGGAAGTCAGGCAGACAACATATAAATTTCAGCAAGTACAGCCTATGCAATATAATAGTGACAAGTACAAAGAAGGTTAATAGTATGCAAAGGAGAGAGATCAGGGATGGCTTCGCAGAGAGGGATGCCTTAGGATGAACAAGTAGGTACCAGGCAGGGGGAAAATTGGGTTCAATTAAGAAGGCAGGAAACAGTTAAGAAGGCATGAAACTTCACACCTATCAGTCATGCCAGATGGAAAGTTCTAGAGACCTGCTTACAGTTAACAGTATTGTACTGGACACTTTTTAAAAATGTTAAAAGGGTAGACTTCACATTACGTGTTTGCCACAATTAAAAACAAAAAATAAAGAAGGCATAAAGCAGCATGCACGTCTGGGGACTTGCAAGGAGACCACTATCGTTGGAGTTGATGGGGGAAAACAGAGAAAGGAAAGAGAAGCTGGAGAACATGGTAGAAGCCAGAACAGAGTAGGCCCTGTGATCCATGTTAGGGCTGCAGAGAAATAGAATCAGACGTGCACTTTAGAGCAGCAACTCAGGTGGCAGCATGGGAGACAGATGGACTGACAGGGGTAGGCATGGAAGCTGACAAACTCTGATGTAGTCTAGATGAGACCAAAGGCTTAGTTTAGGGAAGTGGTACCACGGCAGGACTACCTTCTAAAACATTTCATGCTCTCTCCAGTTATTGGGTTAATTCATTTGTTTACTTTCCCACCAAAATATAAGCTACAAGTCAGGGACTCTGTCGTGCTCACAGCTGTATATCCAGTCTTAGAACAGGGCCTTGTATACAGCAGGTGCTCAGCAAATATCTGCTAAATCAATGAACAAATCTCTTAAGGGCAGAAATCCTGGCCAATTCATATATGTATCCCTTGACACTTTCAGGAGGACGTTGTATTTAAAGAAAAGATGCTCAAAAACATGTGTTGATTTATTTTTTTAAAGGCACATGTCATGGATTTTTCCAAATAACAACATCAAATTTTCTTGGTGAAAAGTCCAAAGATAGAATTCTTCCAACCATCAGCTTTGCATACCCCACCTGGGCATCTAGCAATCAAGCTAGGCCCTTTCTGCTTCATAAATCATTGCTGGCAATAATGCTTCAGCAATTAGAGCTCAGCTGTTGGTTGTCCGGACAATGGTCGGGACAGCCAGCAACAGTGTGGCCTTCCTATGTTTGTGCGACAACATTAATGTACATCATGAGAACTGCACATATGCCTGTGGGGCTGCGGCCACTGCCATAGGTGAGTTAGCAAGCTGATGTCTCCTACTCCTTTGCAACCCACAACCCCGTAACTTTGGGAGGTGAGATTTTTCCTGCAGAGGAAGAATAAAGAGATTTAATTTCTCTATTATATTAAGAACCAATAAAAGGGCAGTTTTATACCTCTTCTGAAGTGAAATACACCAGGCTTAAGCCATCAGCTTGACTGACTCACACCCACAAGTCCTCCAGTTGCCAGAGTTTTAAATGAGCTGCCTGCTCATGGAGACTCTTCCAACAGTATGTTGGTTTTAGAAACGTGTTCCGTACCTCTGAGAAACAGGCATGATGGCATCTCCACTACTATCCATAGAGAATTCTTTTGAGGAGATCTATACTGTATTCAGTACATAGGGGCGTAAGCACCGGCCTTAAACCAAGACTCAGGCCTGGGTATGAATCCTGACTCTGCCCCTTCCCAGCTATGCGACCTTACAAAGATGACTTAACCTTTGAGTCTCAATGTTCTTTCTTTCTCATTTGCAAAATGGGAATAATCTTCCCTTACAGTGCTTCATAGAGGTTAAATGAGGAAACACATGTAAAATGGTAAACATGGTACCTGATACTCAACAGACACTTAATGAATGTTCACTCCTTTCCTTACTCTGTGTGGGAGTGGGAGGTCAGTGAATAGCCAGCCACCTTGTAAGGAGCAGGCCTTGTGGGGGTTTCACACACAGGGAAAAGAAAACAGCTCATGGAACACAAAATATGGAAACTGACAGCTTGCAGCTTCTGCCTCTTCTATACTTGAGAAAGTTACAAAATGTGAGTGACAGAGGCTGTCCCATAAAGGAAGTTAATCTGTTTGCAAAGGGAGGAAATAGCACAGGATGAAGATTGTAAGTTGTTTGAAGCTTCTTCCCTAATTACCACTCATAATGAAAATTTAATTGCCAAGTTAAAAGCAAATTTCACTTTTTCTGACAGAGAATCTCTGCAAAAACCAGCATATTTTGTTTGAACAGGAAATCAAAGTTACTTTAATGCTTAAATGAGATCTAAGGAGCTGCAGATGTTTCCCTGGGAGCAACAAGCTTCCAAACTCTGTCCTACTGGGTTGCAGCTATGGCTACAGGGAGTAAGAAAAACTGTTTTGAACTGAGTAACTCAAAGGGGTGGAGTGATTAAAATTCCATGTACCCCAGTGCAAGGCACTCTGGGGGTGAGACAGGGAGAGGGTGGTACAGAGGAACAGTTTCTGGCATCAAGGAGCTTTCGGTCGAGTAGAAGAGAGAGAAGTAGTAAGCAGCCTGAGATTTAGAAACTAAAAATTAAGAAAACTTTGGGTTATGAAAGAATAGCAAGAAACAAAAGGTAACTCTCTTGTGGGTGCAAAAGACTGCTCACCTGTAAGGTGCTGGTGAGGAAGTTGTTCTGGGAGACAATGTCCACAAAGAAGTCGGCAGGGATCTCACCAAGCTGGTGGTACAGGATGGAGATGAGGTTGATGTAGAGGCTGTGGTGCTTCACCATGGCTTCCTCTGACCGGCACAGGAGGTTTAGGAGCCGCTTCCAGTGTTCAAATGCCTCATACACATTCCCCAGCAGGAAGCACACAAAGGCAAACTGAAGTTCACCTGAAAGGTACAGAGAGGAGACATGATCCTGAGGGAAAGGAATACCAGCTGACCCTACAGGGTGGTCAGTTCCACTGGACCTCAGCAAAGGGTGGTCTTTTCTCCTTGTCTCTCTTGCAGAGCGTAGCATGGGGTCCTGCATCAAGCAGGTGCTCAACCAGTTTGCTGAACTGCTATATATTCAAGCCACAGGAAATCAAACTGTGGTTTTGGATTTCTGTAAAATCAAACTATAAGAGAAGAAATATACTTAGTATTTGCCTGGTGTTTAAAGAGTTTACAAAACGTGCCTGTAGATATTATTCTAAGTGGATCCCAAACCTGGCTGCCTATCAGAATTACTAGGAGAGTTTGCTTAAAATAAAGCTGCCCAAACTTCACTCCCAGAGATCCTGGCTGAGGATAGATGATGGGGCCTCAGTATTTGTAGCTCTAATTCTGATGCAGATGGTCTACTCCAGGTCAGGAAATGCTATATTACACCACGAAATCCTTGGACTAACTCTTCAAGGCAGTCAGAGAAGGTGGTATTTGCCTCGTTTTATAGATGAGGTCAAGGGACTTTTCCAAGGTCACACATGTAATATTTGGTGATGTGAACAATGGAAAGATAAAACAGATTTCTTATTGGGTAGGAACCATTCTAGGGCCTCCCAAACAGAAAAATTCGTGAGTACTCATTTCAGGGTTAGCCTGCCTGCCAGATCATTGTTGTTTAATCACAGGGCTCTGTGATTTAATCTCTAAGAGCGTGTTGGTGGCTAAGAGCATGGGCTCTGGAGCCAAACTGCCTGTGTTCAAATCTCAGCTACACCACTTAGCAGATGTGTGACCTTGGGCAAGTTACTTAATCTGCTTATGCCTCAATTTCCTTATTTGAAGGTTGCAGTGATGATTAAATGAATCAATATAGTACATGTAAAGCATTTAGAATAATATACAGCACAAACTAGCACTCAAGAAACATTAGTTATTGTTCCCATATTTCCACTGAAAGCCAGTCTCAAACAAAGAGAACCATTGATCCAGAAGCCATTGTCCTTGGACTAGCAACTGGGTCTCTTGTTGCCAAGATATACTCTTGCCAATCAGAAGTGTTCTCTCTGGCTTTAAATTTTTTTATTTTTTAAATTCTCTGGCTTTAAATTTAATGAGGGTTTCTGTGGGCCTACATGTGAGCCATAAAAAGAACAGATGCACTCAACACCAAATCTCTCTTCTAATGCTTGGTGTTTGATCTCTGTCACCTCCAGAGACTTGGGAAAACTAGTTCCTGTCCCTAGGCCTGTAGAATTAAGTTTTATTTGTGTGACTAGCTAGCTATTGGGTCTAGATATGCTGGACATTTGACTGATATTTTCAAAATATGTATAGTCAAATTTCCTTCATATGATCGATCTTAATGATGTGCTTCTTCAATCAGCTTTTCCTGGTTAGTGTGAAAATATAAGCTTATGCTCCGAATTTAGGGCATTTATTTAAATTCCTGCATTTCTAGCCTAGTCTAAAATTAAATTGAGATCAGAAATAATTTCAAAGAGCTGTCATGAAGATACAAAGTGATCCCTGCAACAGACCTTTGCATAAGATTACTCTGAAGAACTGAAATGTTTAAGAGGTAGAAAACATGATTTCAGTTCATTTTTAAGCCAGAATTTCAAGTGTTACTTATTAAATGAAAATACTGTGTAGTGCATTAAGAAGCCTCCTTAAAAAATGTCCCTTTTTATCAGCTGAGCCAATGATATAAAAGGCCTTATATTTAAACTTCTCACTGATCTTCAGAAAGAAAAATATGCAAATACCTAACCTGTAAGAGAAAAAATATAGTTGTTAAAGATATGATGTTTGCTGTCACTAGTAATTGAAAAATATAGTTGACCCTTGGACAATGCAGGGGGTGGGCTGCTGACCCCCTATGCAGTCAAAAATCCATGTATAAGTTTTGACTCCCCAAAAACCAAGCTGTCCATCTGCAGGGGACTGGTTCCATGAACTTCCTGCAGATACCAAATTCAGCAGATGCTCAAATCACTCATATAAAATGGCACAGATCAATGCATCCAGTTGGCCCTCTGCATCTACAGACCCCCAACTGAGGACTGAAAACAGGTTATTTACTGAAAAAAATCCACATATAAGTGGACACACACAATTCAAACCTGTGTAGCTCAAGGGTCAACTGTAAATTGAAATAAGACATCATTCTCCAACCATCCAGCTGGGAGAGGCCTTTGCTAAATTGCCTTGTTGAAGGTAATGGGCAATGGCCTCCAACCCGCTGGTGAGGATGTACAACCTTCACTTAGTTGGCTGCATACTCTGATCCAACAATTTCAACCCTAAACACATGCAGAAATACACACAAGGATGTTCATTAGACGACACCTGTAATAGGGAAAAGAGGAACATCTTAATGACTCATTAGCAGAAGGTTGGTTCAATAACTATGGGACTTAAGCAGCCACTAAAGAAAAGTAACTGCTTCAGTAACATGGAAAAATGTTTATATTAAAGTAGGTTACAATATACTGTAATTCTGTTTTCGTAAATGTAACATACACATGAACACATATAATTGTATTTTAAAAAGACTAAAAGGAAATACAAAGAAATATATAGAGAAAAGCAAATATATATATTGTTTATGTGTGTATGTGTGTATATATCAATATCTATATAAAAAAGATGGAAAGTAAATACACCAAAATAATTATGTAAAACATGATTATTTCCAGGTTGTGGGAATTAGAGTGAATTTTATTTTTTTTCTATTACGAACATATATTATTTTTAAAAGGTAGAAAAACAACAATGAAAACTATGATGATTTTTTTAGACGTCACTGTCCTGGTCTAAGCCAGTAGAGAGACCAACATCTTGAGAGAGTCAGGAACAAACTGAGGAGGGAGGTGGGAGGCCTGGAAAAAAGCAGCCCTTCCACCACTTAGCCAAATCCTTTCCCTCTATGGACCTCGACCTGTAAAATGAGAGGCTGGGTAACAGCCATGATTCCCGAACACAGGATTATCTACATCAGGTTCACCTAGGGGTCGTGTTTATTACATAAATAGGCAGACAGCTAAATTGCTGGAGCCCTGCTCCAGAACTCTTGAGGTAGTATCCAGGAGCAAGGCCTGGACATCTGTATCTTTAATAAGTGTATTGGGCATGACTGCCCCCTAGGCAGGTTTAGAAACCACTGGACTAGATAATTCAAAAGTACCCCTACTACATACCCCTCCCTTAGCCCACTCCCAAAAAGCTCTGTTCCTCCTCACCGAGCACATCCTGGGGGCTGCTGGGGAACTGCTTGCTGAGCACAGTCTCCAGGGCATAGCTCAGGTCCATGCTGTGCCTGGTTATCTCTGCTGGCGTGGCACCTGCCGGGAACATCTGTGTGGGCAGCTCTGAGAAGCGGATCTCTGTCCCAGCTTTGGGCTTCATCTCAGGCAGCCGGGCCAGGCCTTCCTGGTAGCTTTTGCACTCAGTGCCACAGCGGGGTAGATTCTGCCCCATCCGGTCCTTGGTATGCTTCATGGGGAGCACAGGCAACACCTCTGAGAAGGCGCAGATCTGTCGGCTCTCAGGCTGCAGCTTCTCCATTGAGGCCTCAGTGATGAAGTTGGTGAGTGAGATCCACTTCTTGAGCGTGGCATATGGGTAAGGTCCCAGGAACTGGTCCAGCTCCTGGAGGTTGGCCCTCATAGCCTCCACCTCATCCTCTGGGGCTGGGGATAAGTCTACCTCTTCCTGGACTGCATTCCAGCGCAGGACGATCAGCCCCCGCTGCTGCAGGCTAAGGAAAAAGCCCATACGAGGGCCTACCTCCCTGGGATTGGCCTTGTCCACAGAACTGTAGTGGAGGAAGTGGATGCCTGGTGGGATCATCTTCACGCCCCGGAACTTGGGCCCCACCTCCCAGGAGTTGTAGTCAATGCCAAACTCTGTCCCCTTGGGCATATTCAGGATGACCACAGTGGCCCCTTCAAAAAAGAGGCGCTTGGCAAGCTCAGGATCCATCTGCATGGCAGCCATGGGACCAGTGGTGGGTGACCAAAAGGAGAACTCCTCTTGTCTTTCAGAAAAGCTGAAAAAGAAAGAAAATAGAGTTCATCAGAACATAGGGAGGAATGTTTCACTTGCTGAGCATCCTCAATGTGCCAGATATTGAATCAGACCCCTGACATAATTATCTCCCTTAATCCTCACTACAACCCTGCATCCATTTTATAAATGAGAAAAATGAGACAGAGAAGAGGATTTTTGAGTTTTGGTTGAATGAGCAAGAACGCTCACTTCACAGCTGGAAAGACATCAAAGAGAAGTGACATGTTCAAGGTTACAAAAGGACACACAGGTCACACAAATCAGAACCAGGGTACCCTGCCCTCCAGACCAGTGTTCTTTCTGCTGTCCACTTGGGACTGCTCTCAGACCTCTCTCTCTCACACACACAACAGAGGACGAAGATGGAGACAGCCCGGATGGCCCATTCTAAACTATAACTCTGCCTAAAATCTATTGCTGGAGAATCCCAGAAGAGCTGAGAAAGATGATTAAATCAAGCATAGACCCAGTTTCCCATAAGCCTCAGGGAAGACCCAGAAATGAACAGAGTTGGAAAGCAGATGTTCAGCATCTAAAATTCACAATAGATTTGGGAAGTGAAGAGCATGTCAACCACAAACCTCCCATTCTCCTTTTACCTAAAACCTAAAGTCCAAGGAGTGAAGCAACTTCCTAAAGGGCCCAGTCAGTGGCAGCTTCAGACCACTTGCCCAGAATGGATTCAGGTGGCATGGCTGGCCTAGGACCAGTGCTTAGAAGAGAAAGAGCTCAGAACATTTATTTTACCCACCTCTGAACTATCTGTGAGGACATACTATAAAACTTCTGTAAGCAGACAGACTCTGCCTCTATAATATTTATGAAGAATAGTTCCAACATGAACTAATTTAAACCAAACAATTATCTAACCTCCTAGTCCTAAGACACCTACCTATTCAATTCAGCAAATAATCACTGAATGCCTGCACTGTGCCAGGATCTTTACCAGGCACTAAAAAAAAATATCCACAAAGTAAGACAGGCACTTACAATCTAGCCAGACATATGAACAAGACCCCAAAATTTCACAAAGAGAAAGAGCCGCCTGTTTAATTCTTTTTACTCTTTTTATTTTGAACAAACAGTGAAAAATGGAAGACCAGCCCTTTCCCCAAAATGTTAAGGGTATAGTTTACCATCTTAACCCAAAAAAACACTACAAATGACTCTCACTCTAAGTCAGCATTTTTTTCAAACTTCACATCACAACTTGTTAATGGCTTAAAAAATCAATTTAGAGTCTCGACCAGCATTAATTTTTTAAATGAAAAGAACAAAATAAAAACAATCAGAATACATCAGGAGTAGAATAAATAATATTGTTTCTGAAGTTTTGTGTGTCTGTACGTACTCTTGGTTGTGACGTAAAATATATTTGTTACTGTAGGTCATAGTCAAAAAAGTCTGAAAGTCACTGCTCTAAATTATTTATATCATCATCATCCTATTCTCAATCCTAAATTCAGAAGGTACTTAATAAATATTTGCTAAATGAACAGCTATTGCATTTATAATTGCTCATCAATTAGCCACTTTCCCTCGGCATCTGTGTGTTCCTTCTTGATAATGACATTCCTTCCATTCTAATTCCACCAGCCTGTCATTCTATTCATTATATCTTCAGCAGCTGGCACGAGGCCTGGCACAGAGAAGACGCCCTGGAATGCAGAAAGTCACATCTACCCAACTTCTCTCCACCACCTCCTTAATCCAAACTACCATATCCCTCACCCAGAGTGCTTGCCCCTCCGGTCCATTCTCCATCCAAAAGCCAGAGAGACCTTTTCAAAATGCCAATCTAAGCATGTTACCACTTACACTTAATACCCTCTGAGTGGCATCCCAAGTGGCTCTTGGAAAACCAAAATTCTTACCATAACCTACAAGGTCTGCATGGTCTGGCCTCTGGCAACACCTCCAGCTTGTTTCATACCATGCTTCCCCCACCTCCAAGCTCTGTTCCAGTCACATTGGCATCTTTCAGACCCTCAAACAAGAGACTCTTGGATAGAAAACTCCTGCCTCCCCTCTTTGTCAAGTCATTTTTCTGATCTCAGCTCAATATTCCCTCCTCAGTAAAGCTCCCTTGACTGCGAGCTGGGTCAAGTCTCCTATTATGTACTCTCACAGCACCTTGTACCTTTTCATTTTACTTTTCGAGGTTGCAATTTTGCCAATATTTAATAGAGAGCTGTCTCCTCCACAAGACTTGAGTCTTTTTGTACCTCTGGCACATATCAGACGCTTGATAAACATTTATTTAATAAAACCGTGAAACCCATTTTGTAGTTAATAAAGGTTCCATTTGGGGAAAGAACTTACCTGAAGTTATAGAGAGTAGGAAAGAACCAGATAGGGCGCAGCCAAGGTCTCCGGCCCCCAAGTTCTAAAGTTAGGAAAAAAGCGAAGTTACTCTGGGCGCCCAGGAAGTACTGGCGACGGTGTCTTTGGTGACGGTTTCCCAGGGAGAAAGGCCTGCAAAGACATGAGGGTCCCACCACCAGCCCACAGATCTGGGCGCGGCCGTCCAACCGAGGTGCCCTGCGTCAGGGCACTCCGCGAGCCCAAGCTGGGAAGAGGAGTGGCCCAGCCAAACAGACAACGAAAGCGGAGAAGTTAAAACGGACCAAAAGGCCGCACTCACCACCTTCAGCCTCGCCCCAATCTCAGGCACCGCGGAAACACACCGGAAGTTTTACCGCTTTGGTGCCGGACAAGAGCTACAGGAAAAGCAGTCCGGCAGAGCTCTCGGCCGCGAGAGAAACGGTCCGTGCCTGCAGGTTCCTCCCCATAAACTCTTTTGCATCGGGTTACTCCTTTTCACTCCTGAACCTTGGATAATAACTTTCGTCAAACTATGCATTTTATATCCCTCTCCAGAAACACATCCACTAACCATGGGACCTTTGGTCTCAATCAGTCATGATCACTGAAGCTGGGGTCAAGGTCATGGCTGCTTAGTAGAATCAGATGCTCCATGGTCCTGGTCAACCATTCTCTACCTGAGTGAGTGTCACAGCTGCCCATAATCCCTCAGTCTCAGCTTCTAACCACACTCAGGCCTAAGAGACAGCCTTAGAAACCCGGCTCCCAGCTAGGAGAGAACCAGTGTCAGCAACAGTAGTCACCACATCGGTCTCTCCCAGTGTCATCCTGTGTCCTCTGGCAGGGCAGGGCTAATATGATATTTCAGTCAGGTTGTAAAAGTGCCCTGAGGTGGGAATCTGCCTGTCTTGTTCTTTACTGTCTCCTTGAAACCTGATACAAAACCAGGCACAAAGGCTCAGCTCAGTACATATATTATGTATTTAATTAATGATAGTAATTTGGCATTAATAAATGGCTCCTATTCGGGGTCCTAGCCCTGTGCTGGGTGGTTGTATCAGTCAGGGTCCAACCAAAGAAGCAGAACTAATAGAAGCTATATATTAAGAGATTTATTGCAAAGAATTGGCTTATGTGATTGTGAGGGCTGGCTCTATATAAGTCCTAACTCCATAGGGCAGACCATTCATATCTGATTTCTAAACCTTACACTACCCTAGTAAGTAATTTTAGCATTCCCAACTTACAGAAGAGAACACTGAGGCTCAGTGAGTTTACACAGCCAGAGAGTGGCAGAGCTAGGAAGCAAACCAAGGTCTGACTGCCTGTTCTTGTCTCTGTGCTGCTGTTTCTTAGCTTGTCTGTTACAATTCCTAGTGACAGCTGGACACATCAATCTGTCTCTGTCAAAATTCATCTCTTAGTGGTTACAGACTAGACTGGGCCCTGCAGTCATGGTTAATCACAATGAGGTACTGCAGGATTAACCAGAGATGGCCTCCATCAGTCACAGTCATGCGTGTCAATCTCAGCCTGTCATGTCAGTTCCATTTCCTGCATGAATAAGCTCAGCTCCTTCCTAACCCCTCCCTATTCCCAGTCTTAAGTGCTGAGCTCTTTGGTCTGGTCTCACAGCTCCCTTTTCCAGCCACCTCACCATCTTCTCAGAGACTCCAGGGTACTGTATTATGTGCATGGAAGCTGTAGATGGTGGCCTGGGAATCCACCTTGTAGGTTGCATGTTCATCCAGATCAGATTTCTCAATCCTGGTACTATTGACATTTAGGGCCAGAAGATTCTTTGTTATGGGGGCTGGCCTGTGCATTGCAGGATGTTCGGCAGAGTCCTTGGCCTCTATCCACTAGATGCCAGTAGTACCCCTCAGTTGTGACAACGAAAAATGCCTCTAGACATTGCTAAATGTTCCCTAAGGGGCAAAATAACTCCACCCCTATCGACGCTGAGAACCACTGATGTAAATGAAACAACCTCAGGTTATTCCCAAGCAGCAGAAGCTGACCCTATATTAGTGAGAGATGGAGATACAGATCCAGGGTGTGTGGGGACCCAATGTTTGCAAACCAAGTCTTATTGTAGAACCCCAAGGGTGACATATAGCTAAAGCAAACCTACTGGGAAAATTCAGGTAAGGAGTCACAAAGCTCTTGGAAGCAATTGCCTCTGGAGAGGGTTAAAGAATTGCTTTTTACTACATAGCATTTTGTATAATTTAATGAATTAGTTTTTAAAAAGAAATAGTATTAGTCTTGGAAATTATAGGGAAGTGCTCTGCATTTAAGTTTTTAAAAAGTATTTAGAATGTTATGTACAAAGTAACTTCAACTCTGGGAAAAATATATGTATGTGGAGAGTCTGGAAGATAATGCACTGATTACCAGTGGTTCTTGCTTGTGAGATTTCGGGTAATAAAGAAAGGTGATCTGGGGTGAGTCACTTAGTAGAATAAAAAGGAAAGTGCTGGTACACGCATTTCAGGTAGTCCAAGAGGTGATTTAAGTTTTACATGAATTATGAGATTTTAATTTAAATATTTTTGCATTTTTATAAAGCCCTCCTTTCTTTGTCAAGTGACACTAGTTTTCCATTTGCAGAAGTAATATAGTTTCTTTTTTAAATAAACTTTTTTTTAAACCGAGTCAATTTAAAGAAAAATAATAAATCAATAATAAGACAGGTGGCAAGTACAAGAATATAGCAACACATGTGAAGGTGGTGGACAAAGGCTGAGTTGGGGATTGCTGTGTATACCATCCACTAGGCTCCCACGGATGAGGTTGCAGGAAGAGCCCCCATTGTAGGTGCTCTTCTTTCAGGATGAGGAGGGACCAGGCTGTTCCTCCATACACCAAAGTCCTGTGTCCTAGTGTCCGTGTGCCTGCTGCTCCTGCTGCCTAGAATGCTCTCGCCCAAGTTCTTCACCTTCCTGGATATTTCTCTTCGTTTGGCTCAAAAATAACCTCCCCCAGGGAGGCCATAACTGGCCACTTTATTTAAGGTGGTCTCCTTCAGTGACCATTTGCCCCACCCCACCATGCATTTCCTTCCTGGTGCTGATTACTCAGGAATTGTCTCCAACTGCTTGTCTATTTTGTTGTCTGTTTCCTCCACTACTCTGTGAGTTCCTGGAGGACAGGAACTTTGTCTTATTTGCTGTTGCATCTGCAAAGCCTAATGCAAGATCTGGACCACACTGGGAGCCGCAAATATTCATCCAATGAAAGTGTTCTAGGTTGGGATCTCTCCACAACAGTTTTAAGCTTTCTCGAAATGCCCACATGGACTAACAGTTGACAGAGAGAGGGGGAGAGGGAGAGGGAGAGAAGGGGGAAGAGGGAGGAAAGGAGGGAGAGAGAAAGGCGCTAAGACAGTTGTGGTTCAGCATCAAACACATTTATTTCACTTTTATTGAGTATACAAGAACAGAGAGCACACGCATACAGCACAGAGCACTGAGGTGGGGGAGCGCAGGGACCAGAGAGGAGAGAGGGGTGTGAGTAAAAAGGAACAGGACAGCATCGCAGTTGGTTGGTAAGGTGCTTTAAAAAAAAAAAAAAAATTAGAGTGATGTTGCTCATGCAATTTCAGGCCAGTCTTGGAATGTGCTCGCAGGATTCAAAAACTGAAACAGGTCCTGGCGCTTCCTGTACCCTCAGATGGAAAAGATCCCGAGAAAGCAAAATAAAATGAAAATTTATAGGATGGCAGAGCGGAAAAAGATCCTGGAGAGCATCTGGTTTAATCCTCCTCGTTTTATAAATAGGGAAACTGAGGCCCCAAAGGGGGCACAGGACTAGCTCAGGATGGCTATCCAGAACTCCTGACTGCCCTCTGGGACTTTTTCCACTATGCTACATCATCTCCTGGGTGGAGAGGCAGCACAGAAAGGATGACAAATATTAAAAAGAAAAAAAGAAAAGTAAGTTGAAGACAGACAAGACAAACATCTGTATTCTCTATGAAGAAGAGGATGTGGAGGAAACAGTGCCCTAGATTTCAGCTTTGCAGCTCCCTTTCTCCCTGGTGGCATGCCTGCCCCTCCGTGGAGGAAGGTCAGAGCATCTGTGGGACAGAGATCTCCACAAACCCCGGCTGGCCCACGAGCTAAGCTTGGTCACTTCACTCCTGACTGAAGCCACATGCCCAGGGTCTGTAGGCAGGTGTAGAACCCAGAGAAAATACTCTCCCTCTGAAGTGTGTCCAGGATGCCTGGTTCCAACAAAGACAGGAGTGCCTGAGCCAAATTCCGGATGGCCCAGAGAGGAGCCACTCCAGCTCTTGACCCAGAAAGAGTGGGAGTTCTCAGGTTGAGAAGGGCTGGAAGGAAGTTCTGTGGCTTCTTTACCACAGTTGTAAAATGAACCTGGTGCATGGAAAATGTGCTGTCACACTCAGGGAGTTAGAGCAGATGACAGGGCCTGCTCTGGGGGACTCTGCCATCTGAGCCCCAGGTTCAGGGCTCCCTGCCCTCTCTCCATCCCATTTTTACCCGCAGAGGCAGACTATTCTGGTTTCTTGTCCTGCCTCAGGTCAGCACCAGGGAAGCAGCTAAGCATATATATCCTCAGGGTAACGGAGAAGCAAGCCCAGGCTCTCTGGAAGGCCTCCCTGGGCAATGTCCAATAACTGGAGAGAATGTGGAAATGCTCTGAGGGGCCAGCCACAGTTGGAAATGTAATGCTCATTCAGTGGGCTTCCCAGGTTCCACCCCTCCCCCCCACACTCTCTCCTTCAGTCCAAGAATAGAGCCTGGCACAAGTAGATACTCAATGAATACGTGTTGAATGACTTTATCAACTGCTTTAGAAGCAGGATTGGAGAGGTGAGGTGGGACTGAGAAATTAAAGTGCAGTGGAGACAGGCTCCCTCAGAAGGGGATTCACCGAGCTCAGGGAAGCAGCTTGTGGCAGGAAAGCCTGGGAAAGCCCCTGTGTGCTAACCTTTTGATCAGGTTTTCCCAAGGGCTTCTGTGGTCTCGAGGCAATTTTTGGGACTCTGAGGGCACAGGCGCAGATCCTGACTCAAGGGGAGGTCTCCAAAGCCGGGGTCTTATGCATCAACGGAGACTTTGAGCAGTACCACCTTCCATCCTCAGCTGGTTCTGGGGTAGGCGAAGCCTTCTGGAATGCACTTTTGACCTACCAGGTCCCTCCTGTGTTCATGGTCTCTACCATGGCTGCTTTGGCTCAGGAAGAAGAGAATAATTCAGACAGAATACAGGAGTGGTAAAGAAAAAGAGCTGGGAATTTTCAGACAGCCAGGTCAAAGCCACCATCTATTGCAGTGGCTAGGGGCATTGCCTCCCGTGGGATAGGGAGTTAGCTATGACAATTCAGTCAGGGAAAGGCAAAACGTGGCAAAAAAAAAAAAAAAAAAAAAAAAAAAAAAAACAAAAAAAAATAAAAAAAACTCAACCAAACAAACAAACAGTGGACTGAAAACTGAGGCAAGTCTCTAACTAGGGAGCTAGGGGGACTGAGCCAGGGGACATTCTGCAGCAAAATCCTAACTCCGGACCCCATTCCTGAGCACAAACCAGGCCCTGGCTGCTACTGCCCAGGGGAAAAGGCATCTTGGACTACATCTGTGTTTCTTCCTTCTTGCAAAACCCCTGCCTCTCCTTTTGGGGACCCTGCCCCTCCCCACCAATCAACCAATGACAAACACCACACACTGTATTACTACACTGAACTATCAGCTCCTACTGTGAGCAACCCACAGCCAGAGTTTGGGTCCCCTTGGCTGGGCCAGTTCAGTGAGATCTAGGAACCTTGGAATACATCAATCACAGTCAGATAATTATAAATTTTAAATGTCAGCTTTATACTTACCAGCACTGTTTATTTTAATATTGGTTTCCTGTTATATGTAATATACATAACTTAAAAGCACATCCATACAAATCTCCTACAAGCTGCACCTTCATAATGAGAACCCATAAACACACAATGTCTACTTCCCTTCCTGTGGCTTGGTTTTCTGTTCTTGCTTTCCCTCTTTCTCATTTCAAGTGAGAGTCATCTGCAGTGGCCCTCAGCAGGACCAGGACACAGAGGGCGAAGGGTGCAGGGTTGGGAGAGAGGGAGGAGAGAGCCCAGACAGAAAATGATGACAAGACTTGTGAGAGGGAGAGGAGGTGGAAGAAAGGAAGGATTTTGCAGCCCAGTGTCAAGACCCAAAAAATAATAATCCAGTGTTCCTCCTCCTCCTTTCCAAGTGGGGAATTTCCTTTCTTTCTTGGAAAACAGTTGACAGTGCGTGTCTTGCTGCTGCGACTTATCTTGCTTTGCTGCAAAAGGGTTTTCCTTTGCACTTGAGTAAGTGGGCAACAGACGCCGGAGAACAAATGGAATGTTTGTCCACCAGATGTAACGTGCAGAACCAGGGTCGTACTGTACTTCTACGATCTTCGTGATCTGGCTTGCTTTTGACGTTCCGCAGGGCTTTGAAGGGGAGAGCAAGAGATTATCGTCATTGTAATTTTTTTCCCTGAAAAATCCCACCAATTCTTCAATTTATCTGCAAAGGAAACGTAGGTGTTCAGATGTTGGTTGTTGCTGTTGGCCAACTGCTCGGCCAGCCCTGGCAGCAGTGCAAGGACGCAGTGTTTCCTGTATATATATCTATATCTATATATATATAATCTATATATATATGCTTTTCCTTTCCCAGTCTCTCATCAGTGACAGTACGTTGCAGCTGGGACGTTGGTGTTGAGTCGGAGAATCCAGAATGAAGGCCCCTTCTTAACGGTTCTCTGGCTTGGGTTGGACCAGAAATGCCAGCATCTCTTCACGGAGGTCAGGATTCCTGGACCCAGAGTCGTGGGGGACACAAAGGAAGGAGGAAGACAAGAAAAGTTAGTAACTTTTTGTCACCTATCTTTAAATACATGGCAAGAGGCTGTTTTAGCTTGCCTTTACCCTGTGTCTTTGCTAATGGCTCAGGAAGACGTAGTGACTTGTCTAAGGCCACACAGCTTGTACGTGACAGCTGAGAACTGAACTCCCATCTGTCTGATGCCAAAGCCCAAGTGTATTTGCTTGTTTGTTTCCAGGGAGGTGGTGTATCTTCCTTTGGCCTGAAAATTTGTCCAAGTTTCCTTTAATGCTGAAAAGCTAGGATCAGACTCGTTTCACTTTTTCTTCCTATCATCTCTCAGTTCTAAGAAACATTTAGTCATGATTACAGAAGTTGTTTGTTTTTCTTCTCTGTTCCCAAGAGGCCTGCCGTGTCCTGGAGATTTAACCCCAGAAAGCATTGTTTAGAAAAAGAAACTGGAGCCTGGATCCCAACACAAGTTTGACTCCAAAACTTAGTGGTTAAAGGTATAGGCTCTGCAAAAACTGAATCCTGAGTTCAAATCCCACTCCATAGCCTACTAGCTCTGTAATCTTGGGCAAGTTTCCTAACCTCTTTAGACCTCAGTTGCTCCCTCTGTAAACTGGGTACTACCACATTCAAAACAAGGATCGGCATACAGTTAAGTGCTAAATAAATACTGGCTGTTCTTGTTATTACTATTGTTGTTGATTTAACCACATACTGTTCTGATCTTGAGAGCAAGGGCTGTTTTTTACTTATCATTGTCTTTCTAGTTACCGACACTATGCCAGCACATAGCAACTACTGAAAACTATTTAACAGGTAGCATATCATTCCTGCCTTTTATCACTCACATATGGTCAAGTGCTAATACAATCATATAAATGCGATCCTTCTCGGCTCATTTGACAGACAAGAAAACTGAGGCCCAGGTTCAATGACTTAGCAAGTTGGTTAGAACCTAAGGCTCCTACTTTGAAACAGGTCAATTATTTTTTTCCCCATCTAATCAAAAATTTGAAAGTAAGAAAGCTCTCAGAAGCTAGGTAGCTAGGTGAATGCCATCCTCTTGGCTGGCAGGGTTTAGGAGACAGGTCCTGTTTGAAGGAGGCAGGCCAGTGGGAGATGATGGAGCAGAAGTCACACATCTGGCCTGCGAGGATGCAGAAAAAAGACTGTGAGATGAGTGTGCTTTCCACACTCACAGCAAGAACTTCAAGGAGAAAGAACTTCCAGAAGGAAGGCTAAATCAACTGGAATAGGGACAGATGTTTCTGGAGGATTCAGGGAGAGAAGAGAAGATGAAGACCAGCAAGATGGCCACCCCACATGGAAACAGGACCTGGTGTACCAGGCTGGTGGTGGTAGTTTATGGTATGACTTACTGAGGACTCTCATCATCCCTAAACATGGTAAAACCTCGAGGGACAGGAAGCAGGTTCACACTGCTGAGCGCCTTCTGTGAGACACCACTCTGGTAGTCACTGCAATGGACTTCATGTTTATGTTCCCCACCCCCACCCCCCTGAATTCACATGATGAAGCCCTAATCCTCAAGGCGATTGTATTTGGAGTTGAGACCTTAGGTCAAAGGGTGGCACCCTCACAAATGGGATTAGTGCCCTTATAAAAAAAGAGACATGAGAGAGATTATCTCTTTCTCTGCTCCTGGCCATGTGAGGACATATACAGAAGATGGCTGTCTGCAAACCAGGAAGTGGGCTCTCACCAGGAACTGAAATGACTGACATCTTGAACTTAGACTTCCTAGCCTCTATAACTCTGAGAAATAAATGTGCATTGTTTAAGCCACCCAGCCTATGTTATTCTATTACAGCAGCCTGAACCGAGATGGTCACAGGTCTTTGTTTATTATCACAGCTCCAATTTATAGATTCACGCCATTAACTCAGACAAGAAGACTGAGGCCCAGGGAGGTTCTTCTGGGCACACCATTATCATGGTGTTTCTGGCTCCAAAACCTGGGTATATTCTTTCTGCTCAATTTTGCTACTTCCTGAGGATTTCTGTCTGCCTTTTAACTTTGCTCATTGACCAATAAAGTCCCTGCCCTATAACTCAGTGGAAACAGGATTCCGGGTACATCTCTTCGTTTTGCAAATGAGGAAACTGAGTCCCCATGAGGGAAGAAACTGACCCGTGGCCACATACCCAGTCAGTGGAATGGCAGGGATTGGAGTCAGGCCCCTGGATTCCCAGCACAGAGTTCTTTGCATCTGTGGCTCCAAACACCTGGCTGCACATGGACTTCCTAAGGACCAAGGTGTAAATAAAGATTCCCAGGTCCTGGCCTAGTGCTTCTGAACCAGACTTTATGGCAATAGTCCTCTATCATCTATATTCCCCAGGTGATACTGCCACCTCGGCACCAGCTTGGCACTCTACCACTCTGAGATCTGGGGGATAAAAATCAAGAATAATTAAACAATGAAGGGAAA